CTACTACATTTTGGTAAATTTTATTCAATGAAAAATAATTCGACCATTTTCTTTTTCGATGGTGTACATTAAAAAAAAATCCTAGGGTGTAAATCGAGTTTAACCTCTAACAATGATGTAAAAAAAATTAATATATATAAAAAATCTATTTCTTAATGTATTAAAAATTAATTATTTAATATTTTTATTTAATACAACTTAAGCAACTAAATAAAAGACAAATTCTCTAATATTGAGATTTTTCTCCTCATTTAATATTGTTTGGAGGGCAAATTATATGCCACTTGACGCTTTTTATTTAAAGTGTGGGAGGAGGAAGTAACCATGTATTGGCCTTAATGAAATCAAGACTTATGAAAGGCTGAGCTGCATTATCGCTTAACACCTTGGTGTAGGGGACCCGCTTACTCAGGTTTGATCCTTCCCCCTTGCCCTTGTATTCTCCGTAGAAAACCAAACTACATATAATATCGTTATCGCAAATTAATCCAGGACCAAAACTAAAAAAATTACATTTAAAACCAAATTGCACAAAATATATATAGCTTACGTACCTGTCACGATCTGGATGGAAATTATCAGACCATCCGGTAGGATCGACGACGCTGCCCATGTTGGTGTAAGCAAAAACGACCAAGGGTCTAGACTTCCACGCCCTCCCCAAGTACGCCCCCTTCCCATCCCCGGTTATGCTGCAATGCACAAACGAGTACCCTTGGTCCTCGCTGGTCAATTCCCTTGCCTGTGCCGTTATCACCCTAAGTCCTTCAGTCCCCAAGACATGCAATTCCGTCCCCTGTATCGAATGTTGACAAAAACATATTAGCTTTTAATATTGATCTTGAACTTTTAATATTCTTCTGCCTAATTTTTTTTAGGTAAATTGTATTATGGTTAAACAGTTTGCAGTCAAATCTGTGTTATATACGTTTGCACTATATGTAAGACCTAATAACAAAGAGTATACATTTGTCGATTTAATTTTGTAGGAAATGATTCCTTGTTAACGTACCAGATAAATAGACTTTCCGCTTCCGAAAATGAAATCAACGGTTCCTTCGATGTAGCAATTCTTGAAAAAATGATTCCCCCTATCATCACATAATGTATCCTGGTAACCCAGAATCCTGCAGTTGTAGAAAGCCTGCTTGTCACCGGAAGCTCTCAGTGCCACCGCCTGTGCTCCCACTATTTGTCCGTCTGGCATCGGCGCCGAATTCTACGAAAAAAATAATCTTTACAGCGATTATAATTCATCAAAAATCATAACATAAATGCAGGGACGGATCTAGCATGGAATGGTTGGGACATTTATATATATTTCCTTCTCTCAATAAAAATTCTTAGATGTGTCATTGCAAATATTACATGCATACCGCTATAATGAGGTTGGCGGCCACAAAGTAATCCGACATGACGATGAGGGTGGCGCTGTCAACAGTTCCATATTTTGCTGCTGTGCCGTTAAACGACAATGTCGGGACCGCATTCGGCGACCCGTATAATGTAATAAACGGCTTGTCTCTATCAATTGTGATTTTCTCGTCATATTTCCCAGGTCCAATCCAGATGATCGTTCGTTTCGTGTTCCCAGATGGAACGCTGGCTATGGCCTTAGCTATCGTATTGAAGTCTCCACTCCCATCTTTCCTCACCTTTATAACTTTGGTGGCTGCCTCAGCCGTCTCCAGGGGAGGGTCTAGGCTGCCCTTCCTCTGGGTGTACGGTTTGACAACGGAGTTGAACCACTGGTTTACTTGGCCAAGATCCTCAGGGATTGATGGCGCAGAATTAACATAGGGAATAAGAAGAAGAATTGTTAATAAAGCTGCATGAAGAGCATTGTTAAGTATTTTTTCCGATGACATGGTTGGTACTTGGGGTGATGGATGTTGGGCCGGCGGAGGGTGGAGATTTATTTGGCATGGTGGCGGGGACTGGACTAAAAATAGATGGGAGAAATGGATGGCTCTCCGAAGTATACCAGTGTTTGTCCCATATTTGTGGTTTCCATTTAGACAGTGATGTAAAAGAACATCTTACTCGGGTAAGTCAGTTGACGGATGTGATATATGAAGGACACTCATCCGCATTATTTTGGGACATTTACAACTCAATGAAAATCGAAAATGTGGTAGTAGTATCCATCATCATCATCATCATCATGGTATAGTATCTAGTATGATATAATATAATATTATAAATTTATAATATATTTTGACATAATTAATATTTTATTTAAAGATTATTTTTAATATTATTTATTTATTTAATAACATATCATATTTATTTAATATCACATTATAATTATAAATTTATAAATTTATATAATATTATAATTATAACATTATAATTATAATATTATTGATGAAAAATAAGAATCTCTTTGTGCACTTGAGCCTTTAGTCGAGTGGTCTTATACCACCCGTTAAGTGCATTTCTCCCTTTGTTTGGTAACGATTCGAATTCGACTTTTTACAAATTTACTCAAAAAAATAATAATAAAAATCCCTTTGTGAGTTTGTTATTTTAAAAATTAAAGGTAAACAAAAATTTTAATGATAGGGTGGAAATCTCAAATTAAAGAATAATTAAAAAATTAAACGAAAAAAATATTTATTTATCTTTAAAATTAAAAAAAATTAATGTAGTAATTTAAAAGAAATTTTGACTAAAAAAATCCCATTATTTTAAAATAAAAGAAGTGTTTAATAATTGAAATTGGACCTTTGCTTCCCTTCATTAGACTTATTTTAAAAATATTGACCTATAATTACAGTTATAAACTTTTTAATCTTTTAATATATTAAAAA